ACAAAATTATTTTTGGGATTCCATCATTGTAAAAATAAATTAAATTATTTTCCTTGTAGCTCAAAACCTGGCTACAGTTACCTCTGATATAAATTGGAACAATCAAGGCGCTGTGGCTTAGTTGGTTAAAGTGCCTGTCTAGTAAACAGGAGATCCTGGGTTCAAATCCCAGCGGTGCCTTAATAAAACACATCTTTTTTTTTACAAAAGAATTTTTGGGATTCCATCATTGTAAAAATATAATTAAATTATTTTCCTTGTAGCTCAAAACCTGACTACAGTTACCTCTGATGTAATTTGGAACAAACAAGGTGCTGTGGCTTAGTTGGTTAAAGTGCCTGTCTCGTAAACAGGAGATCCTGGGTTCAAGTCCCAGCGGTGCCTTAATAAAACACATCTTTTATTCATAAAAGAATTTTTGGGATTTCATCATTGGGAAAATATAATTAAATTATTTTTCTGTAGCTCAAAACCTGACTACAGTTAGGTGTCTCTTAATTGGGATTTTCCCATTTCTTGTCCTGCGGGCGCAGAAGGAGTGACTGAAAAGCAGAGGGGCTCTGTGGCGCAATGGACAGCGCATTGGACTTCTAGGTGAGAGAAGAAGGCATTCAAAGGTTGTGGGTTCGAATCTCACCAGAGTCATCCTTTTCGTATTTTAAGTAAGTGTTGTGTCGATTAATTTTTGGTTTCCTTAAAGCTCAAAACCTGATTACAATTACCTCTGTTGTGAATTGTCATAGCAAGGCACCGTGGCTTAGTAGGTTAAAGTCCCTGTCTCATAAACATTATATCCTGGGTTCAAATCCCAGCAGTGCCTCATAGAAATACATCTTTTCTTCACAAAATAATTTTTGGGATTCCATCATTGTAAAAATATAATTAAATTATTTTCCTTGTAGCTCAAAACATGACTACAGTTACCTCTGATGTAAATTGAAACAAACAAGGCGCTGTGGCTTAGTTGGTTAAAGTGCCTGTCTAGTAAACAGGAGATCCTGGGTTCAAATCCCAGCGGTGCCTTAATAAAACACATCTTTTCTTCACAAAAGAATTTTTGGGATTTCATCATTGAGAAAATCTAATTAAATTATTTTCCTTGTAGCTCAAAACCTGACTACAGTTAGGTGTCTCTTAATTGGGATTTTCCCATTTCTTGTCCTGTGGGCGCAGAAGGAGTGACTGAATGCAGAGGGGCTCTGTGGCGCACTGGACAGCGCATTGGACATCTAGGTGAGAGATGAAGGCATACAAAGGTTGTGGGTTCGAGTCCC